ATATAATGTGTACTTATAGTGTGTTCACAGTATATTATAACGTACCTAGCAAATACGCGCGTTGATTCGCCAATATATTTTATTTAATATCTCTAAAGTTTATGTGGTTATTTGCAAAATGACTTCGACCATTCTTTTCAGTTTAATGCTTTTTTATGATTTTATATGATTATGGTATATTGTAATATAATATGAATAATACATATGTAATAAAATAAAATAATAAAATGTAATAATAATTTATTTTATTATTATTATTATTTTTGTATATCAATAATTTTCAATGTTTTTACGAAATTTTTTCATCAATATTTCAGCAAAGTTTCAATACAATTTACTCAGTTTTCATCACAATTCAGTAAATTTCATTAAATATTTCATTAAATATTTCATAAGATATTTCAATATTTTTTCATTACTTTTCATCAATATTCATTAAAAATTCATTGTTTTTCCACACTTTTCACTACAATTCGTAATGAAAGTCATGATTCATGATGAAATATTTTCAGCAACTTTTCAGTAATTTTCATTTTTCATTTCGACGATTTCATTGTATTTTCAACTATTTCATTGCATTTTCAGCAAATTTTTTCCATCAGAGCACCCGGCCATATCCGGAGACTGTCTCAGAGGGCGTGACTAAAAACGGAGGCCAATTTTTACAAGAGGGAGTTTGTACCCTCTGATACTGTGTTTGATATATACACGTTAGATTCCAGGGAATCACTTGTTTATATGAAGATAAATCGTGTGATATAGATAATTGATATAGATAAGACTAATTTTTAATGTTCTTCAAATATAGTTCCTCAAATATAGTTACAACATTGCAAAATATTGTAGTTTTTGTTCAATATATATTTAACATTGCAGTTATATCTGGTTATCAATTTTGAAAAATCAACATAAATTGCAGAAAAACATCCGCACTTCTATTTTCAATGTTGCATCAACGTCTCATCAACGTTCTTTCAATGTTTTGTGCTGTATGGGTATTATTTAGCATGTTTATCATTGTTGTGTTAGCACTGGTCCATACGGATGTTTAGGAGATGAAAGACAAAAATTTATATTTATATACATATAAATTTATGTTTATGTGGCTCATGTACTTGTATTATACTCGTAATAAATATGGACATTTTCACTACAATAAGTATGGTACTTCTTTAAATTTGTAATAATTTTTTTAAAAATACATATACATCTAATTAGACTATCTATAAATAATATTAAATTTCATATATATTTTAATCTACAAATATTACATGTTAATTAACGATTGCTCTAAATGTAATATTACATACAAATTAACAATCGTATGAATTAATCTTGAAACATAATGAAGAAATCAGATTTCCATATGATTTCAATAAAGTTCGATATATTTCAATAATTTTCATCGACATTTCAATGAAAGAATTTTTATATTCTAACATATAGAAAAATTAAAAAATTACATTTTAATACATTAGTCAATTATTATTAATTATCAGCGAAATTCAGCACGATTTCGTTATTTAGTCAAAACTTTTCACGAAGTTTTTCATTGATCAATAAATGAGGTATATTAAGTACTTATTTACAATTCATTATAAATTGTAATTCTTCCATCAAGTTTCAGCGCAATTCAGCAAAATTTTCAAAATTATTGAGAAATGTTTTTATAAAATTTTTTCATCAATATTTCAGCAAAGTTTCAATACAATTTACTCAGTTTTCATTACAATTCAGTAAATTTCATTAAATATTTCATTAAATATTTCATAAGATATTTCAATATTTTTTCATTACTTTTCATCAATATTCATTAAAAATTCATTGTTTTTCCACACTTTTCACTACAATTCATAATGAAAATCATGATTCATGATGAAATATTTTCAGCAACTTTTCAGTAACTTTCATTTCTCATTTACGATTTCATTGTATTTTCAACGATTTCATTGCATTTTCAGCAAATTTTTTCCATCAGGACACTCGGCCATATCCGGAGACTATCTCAGAGGGCGTGATTAAAAACGGAGGCCAATTTTTACAAGAGGGAGTTTGTATCTTCTGATACTATGTTTGATATATACACGTTAGATTCCAGGGAATCACTGGTTTATATGAAGATAAATCGGGTGATATAGATAATACTGATATAGATAACTGATATAGATAAGACTAATATTGTTATATATATATATAATATATATATATATATAACACGTCAAAACTTGTTATGTGTCATACTGTTGCATACGAGTGAATAGGTAGTAACGAAAAGTTTGATGTAGCTTTTAGAATTTATTTCGTATAATACAGTATTTTTGGTTTTAAAAGATATAAAGTTTCATGAAGACAAATTTCAATTTGTGCAACGTAGTGTGTGATTTCTACAAAAATGGGTATGTGTGAACTATTTATTTCAATAATAATGTAATTATTTATTCCAATCATAAGAGACAATATTATAAAAGAATTATTTGTACAGGTTCTAGTTCTAGTACACAAGAAGAGGAAAATATTTCTGGTAATTATTCAGTTTAGGCCCCTCACCTCTGATTTCGATGAAAGTAGGCTCAATCGACGCGTTTTTGTTAAAGAAAAACAACTTTTTTATTTGACAAAATCGTTGCTCTCTACTGCGAAGCGAGATATTAATAGACAAAGTGGAGGGCGCGTTAGGTTAGAAAATCTGTCATGCTGTCTATTTCTAACTGCCCAGTAAGCAAATTGAGCGCAGACTGCGCATAAATTGGCAGCAAATTTGATAAAAAAATTTACACCAAAACCATAGCCATCTGTGTCCTCATTCAGCTACGGTTTTGGCGACAGAGCTTGCTGTCAGGCAATTGCTGCAGATTTGCAACAAAAACCGCGCAGAGCCTGCAGCGCAGCAAGGTCTGCGCGGTTTCTGCCGCCAATCTGCCGTCAGATTGCTACAAACTCTGCACGGTTTTTGCTGCAAATCTGCAGCAATTATCCGACAACAGGCTCTGTAGCAGGCTCTGGCGACAGTTTGGCAGCAAGATTTGATATAACAGATCTTGATATAACAAATCAAATTTATTATCTATTTGCCATCAAAAATTGGTAGCAAGTTCTGCTCGAAATCTGTTCGCGCAGATTTGGCTATCTGGGTGTGGACTGTGGGGCTTCACACCCAGACCCCCCGCACTCAGTCTTTTGTGCTTCAGCTGAAGTGAATTTCTCACTCACAAAGAGTGCGGTCCCCACCCCGCTAATAAAATATTAGTCTTGCCATGTAAATAACTTTTACAGAATATTTGTGATGGTTTACTTGAAAATAACATTATGTTTCAATTTTGATAAAATTTAATATAATCTAAACTGGACGATCAACCAAATTAATTCGCACATGTAAAAGCACAGTATTTTATTAGTATGATGGAAAAATGTCATTATCTGTTGTTTTATTGCAGTAATTTTCTATACAGTCTTTGGTAGAAAATTAATTTCGAATTATTGTGCCGGTCTCTCTTACATTATTTATACGCTAAATGGTTTCGTCTATATTTTGCGGTTTAAAAGGCGAACAAACTATAAGATTTTTCTTCCTTAAACTTTAAGTGGGCAATACAAAGCGCTTTTTATCAAGTGAGGAATTGGCGTAGTGTCTAAGGCGACGGACGATTATCTAAAAGATGTCTTCAGTTCAAGTTCGAATCTTACCAGAGAAAATCTTAAAAATTATGAAAAAATAATATAGAAAAACTTTTTTTTCATAATATTTTATGAGTATTTATGAGAAAGCGTTTATTCTATGAGTAATTATGAAAAATTATGAGAAAATTTAATTGAAGAACCTACGAAACGACAGGATCTGCGCGCAATCTGCCGCCAATCTGCCGTCAGAGTCTGTCGACAGGCTTTGCGCGCAATCAGATTGCTTACTGGGAAGTGATACTGTTGTAAATGTAGATGCAACATTATATAACGATTGTGAAAGAAAAAAATGTAAAAACTGTAACAGTTATCATACTTTCACTGAGCTAGACAAACTGAACACATATTGCATTCCCAGTAAGCAATCTGCGTGCAGACTGACGTCAGACTGTCGACAGGATCTGTCGAATCCGAGCAGGATCTGTCGATAGATCCATAGACATCTGCGTTCCCAATCTGCCACCAGTCTGTTGACAGGGTCTGCGAACAGTATCACTTCCCAGTAAGCAATCTGATTGCGCGCAAAGCCTGTCGACAGACTCTGACAGATTGGCGGCAGATTGCGCGCAGATCCTGTCGTTTCGTAGGTTCTTCAATTAAATTTTCTCATAATTTTTCATAATTACTCATAGAATAAACGCTTTCTCATAAATACTCATAAAATATTATGAAAAAAAAGTTTTTCTATATTATTTTTTCATAATTTTTAAGATTTTCTCTGGTAAGATTCGAACTTGAACTGAAGACATCTTTTAGATAATCGTCCGTCGCCTTAGACACTACGCCAATTCCTCACTTGATAAAAAGCGCTTTGTATTGCCCACTTAAAGTTTAAGGAAGAAAAATCTTATAGTTTGTTCGCCTTTTAAACCGCAAAATATAGACGAAACC